TTCTTTTCTTGACTTTTTTCTTTCTTTTTAAATTATTGCTTTCAACAGTTTTCATTTAAAGAAAAAAAAAAAAAAGAAAAAAAAATTGAACAAATTCGTTTGAAGCAAATTTCGAATTAAATTTATTATGCCAACCATGTTGCAGTGATTGTTCCTTCAAATTTTTTTCTAAGTTTAAGTCACTTATATTATTTTTACTGAATTTACTTTTTTATAATTTTACTAAATTATAAAATTATGGTTTTTAATTATGGTACCACGTCAGAGCCAAGAGCGTGCATTGATTCGCATTGGCCGAGGATATGTGATAAATAGTGCCGCATAATAATTATATTTTCGTGCTGTTTTCGGTGAGAAAAAATTCGCGTGGGTTCGCGACGATTCATCGAGCCGCTATTGGCAGCTATGAATCACGGGATTTGAACGTGGCATGCTTGAAAACTCAACCTTGTTGATTTCCAATTGACACGACAATTTATTGGTCGCTTAAGTCGAGAGCGATCCATCGTGTCCTTTCAGCCATATGTTCGAATTTAAAAGCAGTATATCTTGGTCGCCACTGCGGGAACGATTCAGATGTATTTAGTATGGTGATTCGAACATGCTGAAGCAGGGGATGAACAGAAATGCGGTCAAAGATAAATATTCAGAGGAACCAGATTTTACCTCCGTCAAATTGTAATTATAATTGTAGAAATTGTAATTATAATAACGTATTTGTATTTAATATAATCGATAATTGGGCATGCGAGAAAATTCTGTAGTCTCTTTTATGGCAGGAAAGAACGATGCAGAAAAGTATAATTACTTCCTTTCCAGTGAATAATTTTTTTGAAACAACAGAAGCTACGTAATATTTATTATAACTTACAGTGCTTATTACGGCTTGTTACCGTTCTCTTTTATAAGATAATTAAGTATCTTGCGGCTTTTTTATGAAAGAAAAAAAAAAGTGAAAAATAAAAGTTTTGACGAAAGAACGTTTCATAATTCTGCATCATTCTTTATTACCAAAATGAAAACAACGGCAGAATACTCTTGGTTAACTAATGTTAATAAATAATAATCTTATAATTTTTTTTAGAAGCATGTAACGCGATATATATTTTTCATTACGTAAGGATAATGTGATGAGGCTGAAACTTTTACGAAATGCAAATAATATACGCAAGTCCGTTTAAAAAATTCTCGAAAACATTGAACGAGATATCCTTAAATCAAACTTTTGTAAACTTTCCCTTAAAAGGAGCTTTTCGTTATTCGTTAGCTTGAAATTCAGAATTCACTTTGAAAAGAGATTGTAAGGACAGTATCTGAACGAAATATTAAAGTCAGAATAACTTATGAATTAAATATTAGAACCTACTGAATGAAGAGTGTTCTAAAAATCATAGACGTTCCCAGCTTATTTTTAAATTTATCAATACTCTGGTAGGAATGAACTGAATAAATCTAGAATCGTATAATTGATGGTAGCTATTTTAAAAATTTCGTTACACCACGGAGTTATTTCGACCTGTCCGTTCGATCTCGAAAGAGCTGATTTAATGAACGGATACGGCCTTGTACAGGAAATTCCAATCTGAGACGGATGAAAGCCGCACGAAAGTGCTATACCGAGGTATGTATTCCTGTCGAAAAGAGTTTCGATCCGACTCAATTTATAGACTTGCATGAGATGCAAATTGAAATGGGCGTTTCGCATCGGCCGCCGCGGAAAAATTAAATCGATGAAGATTATACCGAGCAACGAATAGGTATCGAAGTTCATGCATTCGACAAATCTATGTTAGCCAGGTTCAATCGAGTGTTCCGATTATGGTTTATATACACCAGTTTAGATTAATAATACAATAGTATATTGTGTTATACGAAACTATTTCATATTTCATGTCAACGCTATAGCAAGACACGATGTGAGTATGTTGACAAAATTTGCGATTAATTTGAAAGTGAATATATACTTAGACAGAATGAATAGTGATTTTAAACTACTATTATACGTATACTAATATAGTTAGTAGATTATTGATTTTTGTGCATTTATAGAGAGTTTTAAAATGAGAAAAGGCAGATAATGCATGCAATGATTCATTCGTTTTATTCATGGTAATATGAATTTGCATAAAAACTTGCAGTTCAGTTAATACGATTTTATTTATTATAATTTTTTATTCATTACGTATGCACGTATGTATTAGTAACAAGTTAGTTATCCTTTTGAATGAGGAAGAAGATGTAATTTGTGTGCCTTTTTAATCTTCGATAACAGGAAGATGTAAGAATATAATCCTACGAATTCTATTTATGTTACGCTTTAAGCAAATCAGCAATAAAACAAACTGACAATGTCATTCGTCTGTATTTGAACAAACGAAATTTTAAATTAGAAAAATAATCTGAAAGGGGACTCTGTTAATAACATTTTGTTTAAAGTTTCCAATCTAAAGTTCACTATATGCTTACTTTAGACAGGCAGATATTATCACTGCGAACTTGCAAACTTTCCTAACTCTCCGATCTTTTTCTGTTTCTCCTCCGTTGAATACAAAACTTAAGACAATCTAATATAGCAGAGCATCTCTCTCAAAAAGTTTCGACTTCCTCTATCTTCCTTTCAAAAAGTTTCGACTTCCTCGAAAAGTTTCGACTTCCTCTATCTTCCTTTCAAAAATTTCTTGTTAAAGTTATGAGTAAAATTAGTTTACAATGTGAACTGTGGATATTATTACAGCTATATGTAATTGCAAGTGCTCAAATTTCTTAAAACAGTAAAGTAACCTGAAACAATCTAATATAGCAGATCTTCGACTTTTTTTTTTTTTAAATTTTTAATCGAAAAACGGAGAAAAAAAGGCGTAAGTTAGAAATAAAATGAGTTCACGGAAATGATCATGATTAGTTCGAAACGAAGTGGATGTTATTACAGCGATAATACAAGTTATTCTTACCGAAATAGTTACACTTAGGTTGATTAGGTATCGACCACGGCAAACCACACGGGAACCCGGAAAAATAACACTGTTAATTCGCTATACGTTAATAACGTCGCTATTAGAAAATATTAGAATTTCATTTCATTGATAGCGTAATGTAAAGTAACAGTGTAAAGCGATACCACTGCGCGATACGATAACTTTTTCTCCGGCACTAAAAATAATCGGGTTAAAAATAATCGATGCGATCAATTTTTTTTATAGCGCAAATAAATTTTCTTTGTTATTAACCAGCGTGCGGTCGAAGAAAATACGTGCGACGCACAGGCATAGATTTATCATTAATGCAAAGGAAAAATTCTGTGCTGCAACATGTTTAGTACTCGATAATTTCTCTATCAACTGTGATAAACAAAACACTGTTCGCGATATTATCATATACACTTTACAAATATCGTAAAACACTACGATAGAAAGACTAACAGAATCTTCTCTGGGTTTGAAAAATTTAGTAAAATTTAGTAAAACAACGAAAGGTGCGATGAAATAAAATTTGGTGCAGTGAGATAGGTACTCTTTAAAATGTCACGCGATGATTTAAAAGGTTATTACGCTGTCCTAAAATGTATCGTGCAGTGTTCCACTCGTTTTTCAAGATACGTTGAAATATTTAAAATTTTACGTTTTTTTATCTTTTGAAGAGCAGCTGTGTTATACAGATGTTTATAAAATAATGATTAAATATTTTAAATTGAAAGAGAACAAAAATGATACAAAGAAAATGATAAAATCTCAATCTTTCTTTATTCTTGTAACGCAATAGATAAAATATTTTAAGCGAGAAGCTCAGTTTAATCCTGCTATCGTTCACTGATTTATAATCCAGTGATATTCATTTTTAACGACGATAAATATCATCTGTTGTAAATGAAATACACGTAAAGGAAGCTTTACTGCTATCTATGATTTTTACGTTTCAATTTTATGGTTCAATATTTTCTCGAAACTTCCTTCGTGTTTACTGAAATCAAAATAAAATTGAAACATGGAAATTCAAGGACCGCAGCAAGATCATTTCTTCCTTTTTTGAAGCTCAACCATTGAGTACATGAAACGTTTAAAAATCGTATTGGAAATCAATTTTTCAACGCCCATATTTCAGTCAACGTCAGAAATTTGTCAGTCTATAACTCTGACATCAGATGCAACGCGATAACATTGTAATTCAAGCACAATTGATTGAACTGCAGGCCTAATTTGTAGTCCACAGACATCTAGTACAAATCAATAGCTCTTTCATCGACCATCCACCATGCGGACCTGTTGTTTTCACGTCTGTCGTTTGATCAATTAATTAGAGTAATTATCCTGGCGCTTTGTCTCCCTCGAAGGGATCCGCAGAATTATTCTCACATTTCATCAATCATCATTTGTTCACTACGAAAATAATCTCACTACCAATTAATTATAATTTTGATTGTCACGGACTATTCAGTATGACTCACTTTCATTTCTTTTTTTTTTTGAGAAAAAGAGAGATTTAAAACGTTATTTAATTTCATTTTCTTTTCCTTCCATGGGCAAATGCTTTCGTGTTATTAAAAAATTTATCTTCGTAAGTTTTCTAAATATTCTCCCGAATCTCCTATTTACTTTCTTGACAACTTTGACAAATTAAACTTTAATAATTACCATTAGTTTCTTACCACTAGTAAAATACTAAAGCTACGAATGCTTTTAAAAGCAAATTTCACATATTTCATGATTCAAATTTTCATGAAACAATCTTTTACTGTGTAGAAATAACATAGAACGTTATGATCATCAGAAATTTCGAGAAATACCAATTCTAAATGTATGATAAATGTAAGATTAACATTAACCCCTTTCTATCGATTACCAAATCGGCGTTACCTGTTTCATTCTCTAAATTATATAAAATCGATGCTATTCCTTCCTCTCTGTATGAGAACGATTAAAGTAAAATAAATGTAAGTTGCGTACATTAGTATATGTTGCATTGATATTGCATTAGCGGTAATTTATTTGTTCGTTGAATTGCAGTTGCGTCTCCGCCGGATCGACGAGCCACCAGAGACGATATTACAGTGTCCTCATCCGGTGCATCCCCGAACGTTAATGCAACTACAAGCTGCACTGGTACATCGTCTCGATTGCACAATCCTTCCTCGCCTGGTCGAAATGGCCAGCTATCGAGTAAGTGACTTTCTAACACGATTGTTGTGCAATATATTACGAGCCTGGAATTACGCATTTAATTTACGAGCTTATAAACCTTACCGCTGACCAAATGACAAATAATTATATCGCGTAATGAATTTTGAATAAAGCTTGCGACGAGCATGGAGAAAATTCTCATTTTTTATAAAAACGCTTTTTATCACATGTATCGATAATTTTATTGAATTAACTGAATTAATTAGATTGGAATTTCGCACAATCTTCGTGAGATTAATTTGGTCGGATTGTGACGACTGAATGATGTAAATGATTTTAATGTGATCGTGATGTAAAATAATTGAGTTCCTGTAATTTTTAACATTGTTTCAACATGATCTTGTTTGCATTGACAATTATGATGGTGATTAGTGCAACTTTTAATTAGTAGAGCTCATTGGAGTAAATTAATACAGTTTATTTAAATAAATTTTATTAAGCGTAGGCCAAAAATGAATGACTCTTCATTTTTTCAAACGAGAAATTACTATTTCTATGTACAGTTAGTCATAGAAGCAAATTCGAAATATTTTAAAGAAGAGCAAGAATTTTTAATTTTTTGAAGACATTTGTATGATGATATTTTCTTATTTTATTTATTAAAAAATATAAAATTACGAAATCTATTATGCAATGAGATAAGTGGTTGTTGTTATAATTAGAATAACTTTTATTCGCTCTAGTATTGTAATTATTACGTATTCTTTAAATGTTGGGAATAAATTAATCAATAACCAAAACTGTCAAATGCCAAAAACAGAATTCCTCCTGTTTCAAACATTAGAAATTTCACTTCTCTGTGTTGACTGACTGTACGTGCAAAATTCTCTTTATATAAAATTAAAAGTTCATGGTTCGATCAAGATTTAAAGAAGTTTTTACGATCCTATTACCGTAGAGAGTTCATGCAGAATCGCGAGAGCAAAGTAATTTTCTTTCAACGACGATACAGCCTTTCATACGTAAAATCCTCTAGTTTCTGGGTTAAACGGAGCGCCGTTTAATACGTTCCGTGTCTTTCATGTTTTCAGAACAAGGCACATTAACGATAGTACGTCGAAGTTCTTGCAAGAATAAGAGTATCGGCGGAAGTTTCGAAAGTTCACCGCCGCCGCACAGTCCTGACACTCTTTCGTCAAGCCAGTCCGTGGATCTCGATGAGATCCTTGATAATGTCGATCTAACGACGGACTCGCTTCCTGCCGTTGACACCCCCGACGCTTGCGACAAGGCTGCTCTCAGGTATGGTTCCCGCTACGCTGTTCTCCTCATTTTCAGCCGTGTTTCGCGCATATTGCATCGTCATTTCGCGTTAACTTGCATAATGCGACTAGATATAACGAGGAGAGCGTAACTGTGCCGCTAACGATGAAAAATTGTCCATATTTTAAAGTGCGAAATCATGTAACAACTCATTCGCTCTCGCTTTAAAGCGTAAAGCTCCTACTTTGATAGTCCTGAATTCATCTTTCTTAAGGAGATTAGATTATGCAGTGGGAAATTATGGTCAGTTTTAGTCTAAAAAAAACGTCTCCAAAACGAGAATAAGAAATTTTATTCGAGACCATATTCAGTATAATCTTGAAAATTGGTACTGCACGACATTTTTTTCAAACTTTAAATATTAGGGTTGAATGATAAAGAATCTATACTTGTGTAAATGAGATAAACCTAAGCTGTCATCGAGGATTTATCAAAATCATTGAGACTTCTATTTGAGGTACATTGAAATTTCATTTAGTTGAACTAATTGGGAAAAGTTCATTAATTTTCCCCATTATTTTCACTCATATAATAAGAGTCATGTTCCCATTAGCGGATTTAATTGGCAAAGATTTAGTAAAGCAGACGTTAATTAACATTTTATTCCAATAATTTACTACGTGGAGAATTTGTATAAAAATATGCCAAAAAGGAAATATGCTAAAGTGTATATGTAAAATATTTAAATTAATATAATATTAAATACGCGAAACAAGTTTCTATTCAGTTTCCCTTTCATAACTGCCTTCGTAAAAATTTGATTTTATATTTTTATTGAAAAGTTTTAGAACAGATATTATATCTGTTTCAAAATTGGAGGATCCTAAAACGTTTGAACGGAACATCAATATAGTCAGCGCAGAGATTATAAATAATAAAGTTTCCAATAATACAAATCTCCAATTATAAAGAATTAAATTAAATGTACATATTTTTCTTTCCATTATTAACGAATATTGACAAAATACATCACTAATTATTATGTAAGGCGGTATTTTGAATTAATTACAATTTAAGATTTTAAAATTTATAATTCGAAGATAGCAATAGAAGATCGATATTACTCTTTCTCTAAATTATATCACAAGAAATTTATAAACAGTGACAGTGGTTTTCAATTATTTATACTAAAAATAAAATATAAATCTCTGTTACAGATTGAGATGCTTACTGAGGCAGCTGCAACACGGCGAAATATCAGCAGAATTACTCCAACGAAATTTGCACTACGCGGCACGCGTTCTCGAAGCCGTCTTCCTCGATGAAACCAAGTAAGTTTCGCTCAAAATGTTAATTAATAATCTCTCCTGTAAACTTTATCTTTAATAATGTTGTGCCAGTTGTTTCTATTGTAGCAACATGCAGACAACAATTTTCTTCAAGAAGATTTCAATGTATTATACGCGTACTTATTTATATCTTATATGTGTATCGTCAAGAATTTCGAATTTATTACTAAGTTGCACACATCTGCCTCTAAGCATATTCATTTAATCAAATTTAACAATTCAACTTCCAGGCAACATGGTCAATCGATCACTTACAAATATGTAACTTATTTGCTATTGTTACTGTAAATATTGTTACTAACGTTTAATGACTTATATTTTTATAAGTATTTTGTATGTGATATGTGATAATTCGCATGACTCACGGCCCTTGAAAATACGAAGATATTTCGAAAGTAATAGATTATATTTTTTTGGATATGTAGACGTAACATACCATATTTGTATATTATATATATCGTTTGAAATAATAAGAATAAACATTTATTTATGATATTATAACAAAGATATCGAAATTGACTATGACTAGTGATTCAAGTACTAAGGATATTAAGAGTGCCTCTTTAGCTCAGTGGTAGAGCACTGGTCTCGTAAACCAGGGGTCGTGAGTTCAATCCTCACAGGAGGCAAATCGGATTTTTTTATTTTTCTTCCCTTAAAATATATTGCAAAATTTTTCGAACATTTCTCAGCCAAAGTTTCACAATTTTTCACAACTGTTTTAATATTCTTTTTATGAATTTTTCATATTGTTATTTGCGAGCTCGTTTATGTTCATACTGTTCACGAGATTTCGTATGTCTTTAATATTTCTAATCGTCCCTTTTACGCTTGCATTGTCATTATATTTCTTCTATTGTCATTATATTTTATTTAAACATATAAGTTATTTATGGATTAATTGTTTATTTATATTAGACGAATAAAAAGCCGATACGTTTCATATTCCTGACCTTTCTTTTTCGTTCTTTTCTTTTTTCTCTATTTCTCGAATTTTTGTTCAAATGTCGAAATTGCAACACCATTTATCCATGGCTGACGAGACGATCGATACTTCAGGATTGCAAAGTTGCTTCCGGCGAGAAATATCTAAATGTCCATCAAATTCCTCAAGATATTCAATAATGCTAGAAAATCATAATATGATGTAGAGCATTGTTTTCAATGCAATTACTAAAATTTTTCCACTAAAATTACCCTTTAAATTATTGCCACGCAACGAGTATATATAAAAATATGCAGTTTCGCATGTAGTTAGGCTATATCAATTTCGACCGATGTTCCTCATTTCTCCAAATATTTGTCCACACGATGATTAACATATTCCAGCATCAACGACCGACGAGAATCTCTCCGCTCCGGTCTACACGATTGCTCGCAGCTTCACACGTGTACATAAAATATATCTAACCCTGATCTTTCCAGAGTCTACGTGTAACATCGACGAGATTCTTATTAACCCTTTGCCGAGAGCAAACGATCATTTCTCAGAAACAGTTCCCTCCCAGGTGGATAGCAGCGGTCGTCGTGCCTGTTCGTCTCGATGGCGCTATAATGCTAATGATTTTAAATAAACGCAAAAAAAAAAAAAAAAAAAAAGTGTAATGTTCTACTGTTCTGTTGCCTACTTGACACGTGCACTAACAAGCAGTACCGCAGGGTGAATTCAGGAGGTGTTGAGCGGTCATCACGTAGGGGTGCAAGCCTGTCGTCTGCATCCCTGGGGAGCGCCTTGGACTCGGACGGACAACAGGGCCACGCGGTGGTAACCCAGAAACGGAAGCTTCGCACCCCCGTATGGGCAAGGTTGCGAAATATTCACAATTTCCGACCTCACGCGACTTGTTTCACCCGCCCCCTCTCCAACCGTTCTCTCGATCCAACGAAATCAGACATCCGTCGAGAAATCTTGTCAACATCCTACTGTCATGCTACTGTCCTTCTTCCTCCTTTCCGTTCCTCCCCTTCTTCCACCCCCATCCACTCCATTCACGTGTCGACATTTTTTCTTTCGACCTCATCGAGCTCGTTGTTAAGGATCACGATCATGCGTCGTTCGCTCTGATCATTTAGGGGAATTGAACCTTGTCGGGCGAAACGATAGCGAGTTCCCGGACCGATTCGATCGACCGGCCGCTGATAGTTGAGAAATGAATGCGACACAGCCGGGGGTGAGAGTTAATGTCCGAGCGTTAGCTTCCGGACGAACGATCTTGAAAAACGATTTCGTCGCATCTCGCTCGTGAAATTGACCATTGTTTCCTTCATTTCCTTTTCTTTTCTTTTTTTTTTTTTTTTCTTTTAGTTTTAGTTTGCAGTTAACTGTGTGCAGTTTTGTGAATAACCTTCCTGCAATTGTTTTTCGGCGCGGCACTAGATTCTGCGTAACTTGGATTCGGATTTAAACTTGAAATTCTGACCTGAATTAAACGTTGTTTCACTTTAAATTTATAATTAAACTTCTGTAATTGTTTTTCACTGTATTCGTAAATTTCATTTAACCCTCCGTTTACTGTGCCGGGGTCTTTTGTTTTGACCTGCGCTGGGAGATGCTTGTGTTAGTTAGATCGCACTAACGCACGAGCACCATGAAGCTATGCGCCATGTGTTTGCCAAATTGCCGAAGTGACGACGAAAAAAATCAGTTTCTGGTAACGTTTTCTGAGGAAGAAAGACCTGTGCAGCAAATCGAAGCAATTTTTTATTTCAAAGTTTATTTCACATTTTAGTGTTTTCATTATTGTTTTTAGTATTTTAGTATTTAGTATTTAATAGTTTGTATTATTTTTGTTTTTAGTATTTAGAATTTTATACTATTTTTGTATTTAGTATTTTGTATTATTTTTGCACTATTCTAATATTTTACTATTTTTAATTTACTGTTTTTATTCATGTTTTTGTTCTTTTTATAATTTTTTCCGTTGTTCCTATTTGTTGACGCAGTGTCTTCATTGCCAACGAGCAATTCTTCTTTGTCTTCATTCGCTCAATTTGCACAAGACGTTCCTGACAGTAAATGACATAAATGTAGAGTAAATATAAATAACTTTATTATTCATGTGACTATTATTTGTTCTTACTATTATTACTCCTATATGAGTCGGATGTCTGTCACTGTGTTGGTACAATATCGGTAAGGATCTCGGTCTCGAGAGTTACACTCTGTACACTATTGGTGAGCCGTCCGGACGATCCTAAATATTTATTAGTGGGATATCCGTGTGAGTCAGAAATGACTCCAGCACGGGACTGAGGTTCAGTAGTCGGAGGGTTAATTAAAATTTCAACTTAAATTGAATTTTCCTTTATTTTACCTAAATATTAGTGAAATTTGCTTAAATTTCTAATGAAACTTTTATAGTTATTCTTCGTTGTACTTTATACAGCTAATATTTTCTAATTATTATTTTTTATAATATGTTTCTAATCAATATTTTTATAATTATTTTCCGCTGTTAACATGATATTTAAGTTTTTGTAAAAATAGAATTTTATTTTTTCACTTTTTTGCGATTATTGTAATAATAATGTGTATAAATCATTTATTAAAAAGATAAAGACCTTCAACTGTCCTGTGTAACTATAGTTATCTATAAAAGGAAAGTACTTATTCGATAAAAATTGATTTGAATTATAAATCTGATTTTTGAAATACTTTTAAGATAGGATTTGATAATTAAATTCAATTTTTCAAAAGCGATTTCACCCCCTCAACGTCGTAGAACATATCACAGATCTACATACTACGTTTGATCGTAGTTGATATATATGTTTATGTAGTTTTGGCTTTATACCAAATAGGTAGTGTAGATCTTGTGCACAGGAGTTAATAATGTTTGTTAGTACACATGTGTATCGATTCGTTAGCCGATTTTATAGTGCCTTCGGAACTGTCAATCTGCACATATTTATAATGCACGAATGTTAATAATAAATCTAGGTTAAATAGGTTTAGCGATTATCGTATTTACCACGAAATTTGAAACCGATGACAATTACTTTATCAAATGATACGAAATGATTAGCGTAGTTTTAGATTTTTAGAATAAACACACGTTGACGAAATTACGCCACTTGTTACAGCCAAATTTCGATATACTTGTAATATTTTCGTACGTGACAAAAAGGACAAGTTAATTATTATTTATTATTAAAATTATTGTAATTTACAGACGAAAGCAACAATTGACGCGACATTTCTTTAAAATTTGTTTCTCTAACGCTCGAATAATCGGCGTTAAACTCGTTCAAACACCATTCCATCGCAATTTTAATACTTCCATTTTTATTTATCGAACGAATGAAATACCCATTCAAGTATTCAGAACGAGAACACGAAAGGAACTTTAAGCTTAAAAAATTTTAATTAATAATTATTTACTTTACACGCCAGTACAATCAGATTGCGAATGATCGAAGTTCGTGCATCGCGTGCGTCAAACACATCGAAACACAGCATGACAACTGTCTACCTGCCTGGCCTGTCTCTCCCTCTTCTCTAGCCTCTTTCTAGATATTTCTAGGTGTAACCTGCTCACTTCTTGGATAAACTGCCTGTTTACCAGCTGTATGCATCACTCTCTCTCAAACAAAGAAAAGAAAAAAAAGAGAAAGAAAAAAGAAAAGCAAAAAAGAAAAAATACGTACAGTCGACTTCCTCCTTCTGTCTGTATATGTTTAATGTGTGTTTGCTGCGCCCTTATATAAGAACGTGCATGCGTGTATCTACATATATATATATATCACATATATATATATATATTTTATATATATATCTATACATATATGTATATATAGGATGATGTTCGCTGAAAAGTCACTTGTTACGTTTGAAACGAGCTGTTTTTGATGGAATGCTCGAACGTCCCCTGTACATACCGGATGACGACATAGTCATCGGCACGCGACATAAGCTAAGAGCGTTTTTTAAACGACAGAAAAAAAATAAAGAGAAAAAAAAGGTACAAGAAAAATGAGAGAAAAGAATGAGATACATTGCTGGTAGAACGAAACTATGCAAAACTTCTATTATTATTATTTGTTTCTCGCTCTATCTCTATCTCTCGCTCTTTCTCTCTCTTTTGTCTTCATTTCCGTCTGTTACTCTCTCGCGAGTTCTCCTTTATTTACTTACTGTTCCTCTTCACTTGATTTCCGTTCATATTGACATTGTACACGCACGCAGGCGGACGTTCCGTGCTTTAGATACGGCCTGATGAATGTGATCTATCGTTTAATGTGACACACGATTTTTTCTTGATGTTTCCGAATTATAGAGACGCCGAGCGTGTGGAGTCGACCGCCACTTGCCGTCAGGGTATACGACGTAGGTTCGTTCAAATGTTTGAAATACAAACCGTGAAATCGCCTAAGATCACGTTCACGATTGCGCATCGCTCTAACAATAAGACACATTCATCGTTCTCTTGCGATTTTTTTCTTGTTTCGTTTTTCTCTTCTTCTTTTTTTTTTTTTTTTTTTTAGCGATGGGACGCAGATGATCTTTGAACTCGAGGCAAGAACGCGAAAGAGACGCTATCTCTCTGGACAAATTGAACAGTTTGTTCGAGATTACAAGGCGTCGTTCAATTGATTTTGTAACATTTTTACGAAACTCAGATTCTTTGGAATTTTAAATTAATTGAAATTGGAATCCCAATTGCTAAATATTTCGTGTTTTTAATGAATTGACGAAGATGGCGGAATATTTGGAGATTAACCTCTCAGGCCGTTAATTAGGCAAACTAATGACTTTTACAATTGTAATTATAATTTATAAAGATAATTGAGTAATGGAACTCAAGTAAAAAATTATTTAATAAGAAATGTTATGCTTTCAATATTTTATATATTTTTACTTCTTTACATTTTCTATAAATGTATCAATATATCCGCAGTCTACTAATCACTCAGACAGTTAATTAATTTAAATGAATTTAATTATAACATTAAATACTTTTAACATTAACTATTAAATTTTAAAATGTTTTCTGACGTAGTGAATATTATATTTTATTGAAATAGAATTATAATTATGTATATTTAATTATTTTCATTATATTATATTTCGTACTTTATATTTTATTATATGACCTATGTATCGATCATGTAAACATGCCGAAACAGCTTGAAAGGTTAATATTGAATTCGTTTGAAAGTCATAGAAATAAATTATAAATATTAAAATAATTGGAATTACGTAATTAAAAAATTTAGTTACGAGTGCGTAGGAAGATTAAATGTTACAAAAAAGTATCACGCTCTTCCAATATCAATTCAACTACAGTCACCATTATATGCATGAATCCTCATCATCCGTCACTATTTGCTTGTTTCAATGACAACCGCCCGCGACAACGCTATTTAATACAACTGTAAATACACTCACTGAAAGTTTAAATAACACGAGAAATTGCCAGTTTTACCAAATAATAATTATTCATTCGTGTGAGATTATAATACGCATGTTTGTCCCAATTAATCGTATCCGACTGAAAAAAAATTTCTCCGTGTGTAATGAAATCTAAATCCAAATTTACCTCCACCCATTATAATATTATTAAATCATACTGTTTGATGCAATAAGTAGTATAACTGAGTTCCTTTTGCTTAATTTAATTTAATTATATTTCAAAAGCTACGTTCTGTTTTGTCCAAAAGTATTACAAGATCTAACAATGTCTAAGACTGTAGATTTTTACGCAAATTCATACTTTTGAAAATATAATTCAAGGACTTCGGTGGAAAATTGTTTTACGTATCGAATATCGTAATGTAACAGAAATTTGTTACATTATTTCATATTTAAATGTGTTCTGTACAATTTTGCACGCATGCATAAAAACCTACAGTCTAGATATAACTTGACAATTCTAGTATTTCTTGATATTGTTTCATGTCACAGAATTTTCATTTTGTCGTTCGTTGTCCAGTAATTAACTTTTTCGATGTTATGCTTCTGCATCAAACGGCTCATATGTCAGTATTGTAATATTGTAATATTTCCACCTTTCGTCACGAATACTCCATGCAATAAATATTACTAGTATCGATAACTCAATATTTGGTTGTTTTAACTCATCTAAATGTCGATACCGTGAAAAATTACGTTTGAAATATATTCCAGCATTTGAACTGAATGTATTATTCGTCTAACTTTTCCAATGGATACAGCAAGGAAACTGTTAGTCCTAGTTTTGTTTAACCTTGACACCAACACTGATACATGTCTAGAATTTCTATCGATCAGGATGCAACAGTGATGGAAATCGATACTCTAAAAGTTGAAACGCTGAATTCAAAGACTTTCCTTGCTTTCGTGTTTGATAAATTTCATGTCAAAAATATTGCCATCGCTGCCGTCTTCGTCCTAATATTTCAAATTCAACAGAAAATATTCACTCTCGCGAGTGAATATTTTATTGCTATTAGCAGCAAGCACGTTGCATCCTCATATTTCAGAAAATATTTCGTAAAAATGAATAATATTGAGAATGTAGAAATAAATTTAATTTGCAAAATATCGTTCTGCAATTTCGTTCTGTTTCAAAAAAAAAAAAAAAAAAGGAGCGAAAACACACAATAAAGTAATAGCCAGTGTTGAATAGAATATTATGGAATATAATATCTGTTAAAATACCATTTTTCGATTGACATTTTGGAACGCTGCACCAATTTAACAGAGAGATTGAGTTCCGATTCAATTTTCAAAGAACGTTTTCGATATTAAACTTTTATATCTTTATCAAACACGGTCCCTCTTTCCGTTCGGCGTTATATTCTTTAGAGGAGATTCCATCACAGTTCCCATTAACTTTACCGAGCTCCCTCTTAAAAGTATTAAAGACATTAACGGCCAGTGTGTATAGCATCCGTAGCTTATAAAAACTTTTTAAGGACTTGTTAATTTCTACAGAACATTTGCTGTAGTTCTCGACGTCGAGGAAAACTTTTTACGCTTTAGATATTAAAACGAATAAAAAGCTCGAAAGATTAGTTTTTTGATCCAATCGATGCCAAGCGTATCATCACCGACATACTACAGTTAAGGTCAAGAGAAAAAAAATTTTGTAAAACTGAATTGCAATTGACAAAAAAAAGAAAATAATCATATGTTCAGAAAAGAAAAACAAATTTAATTTATACACATATAAATCGACAATTTTAAATTTCAATAATAACATTCAACAAATTACTGGATTCACAAAGATTCATTTTCGCTACGAACTTTTCAAACAAATATTTATATTTCGCAGATTCTCATCGTCATTTCATTGAAATGTACATATTGTTATTTCATCATTTTAAGACACTCGTGTGTTTGCTTGAAACGCTTTCGCATACTATCATCTTTTCCTTGCTACACATGTTCTCCGCTCCACTTAACTGTTCAAACACAGTTTAGATTGTATTATTAAGACTGAAATATATCGTTATGTGCATAAAAATGATTTGGATCACTTTTGGAGAATAAATAATGTATCAATGATATTGGTGAGATTCTATCGTAATTTAGCATATTTTGAAAATAATATTGAAAATAATATTATCAGAATTCCGGAGGGAGATGATAATCCAGATTCATTTCTAGAGAATAAACAAATCGTAATAATAGAGATCTGAAATTTTATTACATCTAAATGTATTTTGCTTTCAATACGAATCCTGTTGCAACTCCGAATTTCATAATTAGAGTTTCAAAACTGAATCGTGTATTTAAAGACACTTGTATATTTCTGGAGAGTATCAAATTAATATAGATATGAAACGCTGTAATATATAAATTTAAAAATACTTTACACTGAATATTCGCGAAAAGTTCAATGATCTGTTATTGCATCTATCTTCTGCAGTCAATACCAAACGCGAGCATGAGTATGGCAGGAAACTAATACCTTTTCAGTTCGTTACCTGCGTTCGTGTCGCGAAACGAAAAACGAAAAAAAAAAAAAAAAAAAAAAATAGAAACAAAATATTCGTAAAATAAAACGCCGACAACGGTTTCTTCGTCTAGCTGGCGAACAGAACGTCGTAGTGGTACAGAACCATGGTGTGCTGGCATGCTGCTTCCCGAGCAAGAATATAAAGCGTTTTATGGGTCTGTCTGGCGAACGAGGGGCCCTTGGTCCTCGCCGCGTCGACGGGACGAGAACGGGATCCTTGCGCTCATCCGGCCAGACTGGATCGAGAGCAGCACGCGGCCCGGTTCGTTGTTGTGTCCATAAACGCAGCTATAAATCAGGTCGTTTCTCCAACCAACGAATCCCATTCGCGGTTCGTTAGAAAATTACATTTTTTCGTCCCTTGTCTTTTTCTTCTGGAGCCAAGCTCCTCTCTCGAGGAGTGCTCCAGTCTCCTTCCAGCATTTTTGAAGCTGATAAAGCGACTGGCTCGCGATGATAAAGTGACCGAAAGTTGTTGTTGTTGTTGTTATCGAAGCATAATGTTAGAGGTAGTATGTTCGAAATGAGTTCGCGATTTTTTGTTGCAACGGGTTCTTGCTGCTCGATTTCAACGGCGAGAAGTGTGAGAAAGTAGCAGAGCGGTTTAGTAAAAATTTACTGGATACACCTTTACGTAAGTTACGTAAAGATCCAACAAGCATCCAGATCGAATAAATTTTAAGTATCGACACCGTGACTCGAACGAGACTCTCGAAAATTCTAACTTTCTGTCAATGATCAAATCGAGCGAGTGAAATGAATTGTAATTAAATAAGACAATGATTGTACAATACACGATACAAAGTATCTGTTTAACACCAGAACCAACGAGCGAAGCGTAAAGTTTCCATGAGAAATGGAAATTGAAATAAAAATATAGAAATAGTTTGTGATGCGATAAATCGCACAAGTTTTTTCATTCACAAAAATATATCAGACAATCTCCAACAAAAGTTGCAAATCGTTTCGACCACTTTGCTCAACAGCTCCGCTGTTCAAACTATCAGTTATTAAAATTACACGTTGCGCGACAAAATTCCAAAAATTGCATGACACGCGTGACACGGAAACGTTTGCCAAAAAGTTTCGTGCGACTCGAACGTGTCAGACGCGTGGACGATCGGAAAGAACCGTGAGTCGAGGGAGAGGATCGGTCGGAGAGGCAGCGCAGGTTCTCCTCCGTAGGGAAGAGCGCAGGATCGCGACGCCGGGCAATCGATAATCCTGAATTCTTCCGCTATGATGCCTTTCCACGAAGCTGGTGTTGTGTCGTTGCACCAGGCGCGGCGAGAGGAGAGACAGGCCGCATACAGAGTAGAGGAGACGGAACCGGGGCTAGGCACCCTTCGTGCACGCATGCACAATGCTCGAGGAGGGTGCAACAACCTCCTCCACCTTGGACTAGGAAGAGGAGAAGGAGCCGCGGAGGAGAAGGACGAGCGAGAATGGCGGGAGAATAGTCTGCCAGAATGGTCTACAGTCGCGTTTTCAAGCACGCGTTCCTTGTTACCGAGGCGGTCGAGAGGAAGAAAGGGATGAGAAACAGACGCAGAGAGAGAGAGAGAAAAAGAGAGAAGTCGTGGGAGTGAAACGCCGTTGCAGTTGCTTCTTCGCAGTTTTTTTTTCGGCAACGTTGAACGTCTGTTCGCTTCCCAATGCTTTTGTTAAATATTTCGTGTCGTCGCAGGCTCCTTTCCGACGTTCGTTTCTGATCTGTTGTCTGAAACTGACGTTCACGCGTCAATACCCGAGATCTCGATACATCATCGGAAATCTGAAATTGGTATTTTTTTTTTTTTTTTTCATCGACGTGAAAAAAATTGGCCGAATCAATTCGATAGATGTTCGCGAGATTTCTTACTTTTGTGAATCTAGGTGGGGAATTATTCATACTTCGTTTACGCTGGGATTAATCGAAACATCAAAATGTTGCAAGGTTACATATAACGTAACGTATAAGATATAAATTGCAAAATAATTTGATGAAACGATTTAATAAATAATAAAATACAAATTACAATTCATCGTTGGGATGAATTGTAATCTTTCAAATGATAATTCCCGCCATTTATTGATCTATCATTTCTCAAAGATGCCACCATTGTATCTATCAGAAAAACAAATCACGTTCACAATTTCATTTACAAACACCAACGTGCCTGATCAACGTGCTTTCATTAATTATTAATTCATCAATATTAGGAGTCTTTGATCAAGGAATGACCCGGTTAATAAGGCTCGTTGACAAGGCCCCCGCCCGTAATAACAATAATACTGTCGTTTAAAAGAAATACCAGTATCCTTCATTATACTCTTTCACATCCGCTCTCTTCTCCAACTGGCATTCAGAAAGCTTTCGCGATCCAAACGTCGTCAGCCGTCGCAACGAGGCGAGCAAAGTGCCTAGACAAAGGCTCGTTAACGTATCCAATTAAAAACGAAGCGACAATGAATTTAATACGAGGGAGGCAATGTTCGTCAATGTTTGGAGTTAGCGATAATCGATAGGAATCCCGTGTGTGACTCACACAGCCGGATTGGCGTAACAGAGGGCCTGAGCGAGCGCGCGACGTCTGACAGACGTTCAGTTTAATTGCGCACGGGGCCTTTATCATGCAGATTGAGAATGATGTCTGGTATGGAGAGGTGTCGTTCGCGGATCCGGACGCGGCTAATTGCCAGGCGGATCGATTCGATGACGGGTCACCGACACCACCGCCGATGCTGACGATACTCGCCGGCCTGTGGCACGCGATCAGCAAGGGAATGGAGCCGGGAGGAAAGAAAGCGGCGACGAGGACTTCCTACGACCCGCGGGACGGCGTGTGCGCCGTCGCATATTTATCGGCCGGGCTGTTCGAGCTGTTCTACGAGACCTAAATGCGAATCGTTGCCTTCTTCAGTGTTCCATTCATGTCGTCAGGGGCGATCGACCGAGTGGAGGTCTCTTCTCCCCAGCCACCAACCATCTGAACGCCGAAGATTCTGGTAAATACTCGCGGGACCAAGGAACAATTTAACTGACAAAGTCGTCAAACTGACCAACTCGTCCATTCTTTAGCTTTGTGCTGCATTTTTGGACATTTGAATGGTTTTCTTTTTCTCTGAGACGAACTTTTATGCTTGTACAGTCGTCAGCAGCTCTAGTTATCATTGGTAGTATATTATTGTTTATTCAATCTTGCGGGACCAAGGAACAATTTAACTGACAAAGTCGTCAAACTGACCAACTCGTCCATTCTTTAGCTTTGTGCTGCATTTTTGGACATTTGAATGGTTTTCTTTTTCTCTGAGACGAACTTTTATGCTTGTACAGTCGTCAGCAGCTCTAGTTATCATTGGTAGTATATTATTGTTTATTCAATCTTGCGGGACCAAGGAACAATTTAACTAACAATGTCACCAAACTGATTAACTCGTCCATTCTTTAGCTTTGTACTGCAATTTTGGAAATTTGAATGCTGTTCTTTTTCTCTGTAACGAATTTTTATATTTGTACAGTCGTCAGCAGCTCTAGTTCTCATTGGTAGTATATTATTGTTTAGTCAATCTTGCGGGACCAAGGAACAATTTAACTAACAAAGTCGTCAAACTGACCAACTCGTCCATTCTTTAGCTTTGTACTGCAATTTTGGAGATTTGAATGCTTTTCTTTTTCTCTGATACAAATTTTTATACTTGAACAGTCGTCAGCAGTTCTAGTTCTCATTGATAGTATATTATTGTTTATTCAATCTTGCGGGACCAAGGAACAATTTAACTAACAAAGTCGTCAAACTGACCAACTTGTCCATTCTTTAGCTTTGTGCTGCATTTTTCAAGATTTGAATGGTTTTCTTCTTCTCTGATACAAATTTTTATACTTGAACAGTCATCAGCAGTTCTAGTTCTCATTGATAGTATATTATTGTTTATTCAATCTTGCGGGACCGAGGAACAATTTAACTGACAAAGTCGTCAAACTGACCAACTCGTCCATTTTTTAGCTTTGTGCTGCATTTCTGGAGATTTGAATGGTTTTCTTCTTCTCTGATACGAATTTTTATACTTGAACAGTTGTCAGCAGTTCTAGTTATCGTTGGTAGTATATTATTGTTTATTCAATCTTGCGGGACCAAGGAATAATTTAATTAACAAAGTCGTCAAACTGACCAACTCGTCCATTCTTTAGCTTTGTGCTGCATTTTT